TACTTTCCGTACCCACTGTATATCCATGACAACTGACTAAAGTGACTTAAAGTGTGAGCTTCGGACTCTGGAATACATCCATTAGGACACCGTTTTTCTATTGACAAGCATTTTACAGTACTTACAGAAAGAGCTACTATCAAGTCCCTCAGTTCATTCATTTGAGGGGAAGATAAGTATGGTGCTCTGCAGATGGCTGTGAGTACCTTTTATTTGGTGCAGCCAGAAAAATAACCTTGATGATATCGATCCTGAAATACAAACCCAGGTTATATCACTAAAATGCACCTATCTGATGATGTATTTACATGTTGAATTTCATCCTCATACATTGTTGTAATATCAGCTGCTACACACCAGCTCTACTACATACATTTCTTTTTCTTTTTTTTTTTAAATCATTGGGTGACACTGTGATAATTAAGATCCAGGACAGCCATCTGTCAGGGCCATCAGTCCAGGATATGAAAATAGGATCAGATTTTTAGTTAATTTATGTTTTATGAAGTAATCAATTACAGAAGAAATATTCAGCCTTTACTTAAGTAAAGGTACTAACAATATCATAGTGTGAAAATACTCTGCTAAAAGTAAAGGTCCTGTATTTAAGTGTTATTAGCAAAATTTACTTAAAGGGTTAGGGTACTCATTCTGCAGAAAAATGTTTCCCCCCAGTGTTTTACTATTATATATGTAATTTTTTTTTATTAATATTACTGCATCAACGTGTAATATGCTGCATTTTACTGCTGTAGATGTTTACAGTTGGGCAAATTTGAACATTTTTATTTGCTGTTGGGTAGTTTAATCTACAGCAATGCATCATATACTATAAGATCTTAACAGGTCAGTGTCCTTTGAGAACCACATATCTATAAAAAGTCAGAAAAACAGTCCTGTTTTCTTTGTGACGATGCATTTTCCAGCTAATCCAAGAGCTGTTTTCATTCATTTAGCTTAAGAAGTAGGAGAACTTTCTCAACCCATAAACGAACACTTAGTAATCCTTCAGTTTATCAGACAAATCGCCAAATTTAGAGATGCGTGGTTTTCATTGGACATTTAGAAATTAATTAATCTGAAAAGTATAAGCTGTCAGACAAATTTAGTGGAGTACTTCATTACATTCCACCATTGGAATTAATTATCTAGCCTTAAACTTATTGTGATAATGTAATACTGTGTTGAACCATAAGGAATCTTTATCTCTTTCTTTTGAGCTGAAACCCTTCAGGGAGGTTTAGACCCTAAACTACCGAATTAAGAACACTGATTCATTAACTCACTCAATGACAGATAATTTAAATAAGGATGTCTGGCTGTCAAACCAACAGGATTGTGAACATATGTTATATATACGTCATAGGTTCAGAGCCACAAAAGGTTGAATATTGCCTGCTGTATTAAATACAACGGGTGTAATCTGACCTGCTCTCTTCATTGAAAGCACATAACATACACAAATGAGTATAAAAACGATGAGTTTCTAAAAAATATCAAATTTAATTTGGTTATAAAAGTTGTATTTTTTCACATGCACACCCACACATAATTAATCACCATAAATACTGTCCAATGACTTCTCTTTTTCTTTTTTTCTTTTTTAAACTTTGATTCACAAAGCAAGCACATACGGTGGACTGATACATCTGATTTCAAAGGACACTATGGAGAATGCTTGCAGTCTTTTACAGGGAGGAAATCTCAGTGCACTAACAAAAAGGCTGTCGTAAAATCAAGTAGAAACATTTATAAATTATCTACAAATGGATCAAAGTACAAAAGAGCTACAGCGTTTAGAGACACTACACCCATTCACAACTGAATGATTTGGTATTGGGACACCATATTACAGTAATTCAACGTTGTTATCAGACTGAATGAGAAACTATACATGAACAGCTTTGGAACAAAAACTAATCAGATGTAAACCTATTGCCAGCCGAACTCTTCTTACATTCCATTTTGGCAATCCCTCTCTTGTCATTGCATTTAATCAGTAATATTCATAAAGAATGAGGAGGGGAACCCTGTTTAACACAATAAACTCACATCTTTCAAGTTCAACTTGACATAAGAGACGAACTGGATTGGATATTTAAAACTAAACAGAGAGAATAGAAGTTTTTAAATGATTAAAGCTATGAGACATACTATCCCTCAAGTTAGTTGAGTTCTTTTAGCACGTTTAGTCACCTCCACAGATAACAAAATGTTGATACAGTAGCCTGTGCATGCCTTTCTTCTCAGTAATCCAAGTGAATGTTTGCTTTTGAAAATGAAATTCCAAGAGATATAATCTTGTTTAATTAACACACACAATGACTGTCTCCTCAAAAGAAAAAAACTGAGGTAGGACAGTGGGTTGTGTTTGAGATAAATACATTATTATATCCTGTGTGATCAGTGAGCTGGAAGGTAAACACAGCAAGTTTAAACATCTTTGAAGTTCATTCATCTTTTTCAATGTAAAAGAAAGATGGAGAAAACATTAAGACAGAAAAGAATATCTGTGGCAAAATGTTTTTTCAAGTCAAGATGTTTTCAACATCAGGAAAAGGCTTTCGATTGGTTTTCTTTTTTTGGGCCACATTTTTAGGGCTTCCATAGAATTTGATTGGCTCTTCAGGCTACAGGTTTATTAAATTTACCTGTATGTGAAAACCAATAAAAAAAACCTTTTCAAGGGTTGAATTTGGCATTCTGGCCACAGGAGAGTATGTGAAAGTTAAAAATGTTAAATTGGAACTAAAATATTGACAACATTTACATTTGGAGAAGCTTTTACACTTAAAATGAATGAGATTAAACAGACAGCATGGCAGCCTGCAGGATATTAAGGAGATTCTTCCGATCTGATTACATTTTCTGAAGCAAATCTTTGAGTAGCATAATGCAAATATGTTTCTTTGTTTTTGAAGACTCAGTTAAATATATAAAACATTCGATGAGTCAACAAACTAAAAGGAGCAACAACAGAATATTGGCATTACTGATTAGTGCGTGCGCTCTCCACACTCGGGCTTTGAATACATCTGCTTATTTCATTAATGATCCAAGATCATGAGAATAAAATAAAAATCTATTCCATACCAGATTCTATTTTTAATGTATATAAGCTGTGTGACACTTTTTATGGTATAGTCCTTATGTGGGCTACTTGGCATACAAGTCATGTAGAGCTTATACTGTGTGTAACCAGATACAAAATGTTAAATAAGTTAGTATTTCTCTCCACAGACCTCCAGTGGATGAAACAGAACTCGAGAACAATGCACACCTTGACTTTTTGATTTGCACCCTCTTTGATGCTTTAACGTGGCCACCTATATTAACATGAGACAACAAAACCAAACAGTGCACAGGCAATGGAGGTAGCAGCACATCACTAGATCACATGACCAATAACAACATGGCCTCTCTTTCTGAAACAAAACATAAGTGAACAGGAAACATGAAAGGTGCAAACATGAATGCATCACATACTGCCTCACATACACGCTCACACAGGCACACAAAACATGTATGTTACCAATCGTCAGACAAAAAACACACACCTTTGTGCAATAGGAAGACAGACACAAAAATTTTGTCTTGAACTAGGCGTTTCATGACAGCTTGACAGCGGGGACAACAAACAATGCTGCTCCGATTTAATCTTAAAAAAATTGACAAAGCACAAGCGACCCGTCATAGAACAAAAAAACCCTGGTGTGGATCAACCTTGTGATCGAACGAGGAATGTCACGCTCGTGTTGTTTTCATAAAGGCCACTGAGACAGCTAAGCTCGCCCGGTGTTTCTCACTTTAATGCCCTGTTCCCAATCTGCTATTGTTTTTTTTAAATTCCTTTCATCACAGAAAACTCTCTGCTGAATCACAGGTACACGCGGAAATGTTTCCTTTCTTCTGACATATGCTACCACCTCTCTATGATATTGCACTGAATAAAGCCTTTGTGTTAGCAGCCAGCATTACTTCACGGAATGCCTCAATAACAGTGTAGTCTATTAGAGATTTTCTTAGAGGAGTATGGTCTCTGTTTCCTTGTGGTGACATCAATACTCCAAAAAATTGATGTTTTTTTTTTTTTTTTGCTGAGAAAAGCCTAGTAGAAACTTAGATGTATGTTTTCACGGCTACCCTGCTTAAAATAAATGATAAAGAAAAAATACATGTCATGAAAATCCTAGTTGGTTTTTTTTGTTTTAGTCATCTGTTGATTTAAAATACATCACAGTAATATGTTTTTTGTGTCTGCAGGTGACCTCTCTCTTGATTTTGGCACTGCACTGTACATCAGTTAGTTGATTTGTATCCATCACCAAACATGAATAATTGTATCACTGGTTATATTCAAATAGGCTCACGCAGTCCTGGAGACAAAGCTCACATCCTCTCTGTCATGTGTTGTTGAGACCAGAGTTGATTGTATGGATGCAATATACAGAGCCCAGCATGTGCACGTATTTGTACATGTATGCTTCTTTTTTTGTGTGTTTTATTTCACAGGGGAGAGTCTCTTCAGCAGCTTCTTCCCCTTGGAAAGTAGTCCTTTCTTCTTCTTGTTTGCCAGATCTTGGGAGTCCCTGGGGTCCCGGAGGTCCAGCGGAATGTGGGGGCCCCTCGTAGGACTCAGGGGTCTCATGGTGCCTGGGAGGAGGGGCCGGACAATCGGGGACGGAGCTCGTACAGGCGTGGCGTCGTTGTCTACCGTGTCAGTGGTTTCTGTGGTAACCTGAGGAGAGAAGCGATGGGGAGGTGTGGAGGCATGGGGCAGCGTATTACAAAAGAAGCAACACTTTCACACTGCAGACTAGGTGTCTGTCTGTCGGTCTGTCTGTTATTTCAATGCAGAAAAGTGTGGTGAACATATTCAAACCGCATTGCTTGTTTTGTGTGATAAGCAGTGTATAGTTTGAGTTATAATTCTACATAATAAGACCCTATTTCTCTAATTATCAGTGGGCTGAGGTGCATTCACTGTACACATTATAAACAAATTACCCACTTACTCATGTATGTCTTTCTTGCTTGTTGCTTTTATCCTGTAATACAGACTTATCGATATTGATCTATTTACGTCCAGCAAGGAGGTTTACATTTGTTGTCCTGTTTGTTTGCTGAACTTTGAACTTTGGTCATGGGTCTAGAAATAACTTGTTTTCTTAACGTTGCCAAATGGCACGTGTATCAAATCAGCTGTGCAGCACAGTGTGTGATTTGGTGCAAAAAAATCGGAACGTTGTCTATTATTACAAGAAGTTATAAGTAGGAGACTTATGCAGCCTTGGTAACAATTTGTTTTTTCTTTTTTTAGATCAGTTTTTAGTCTTTATTATCTATCTTCTAATTTTGCTTCTTACACACAATTCTTATGTGTGATTTGGCTGCTGCAATTTCCCTTTGGGATTAAGTTCTCTATTTATATATCCATCTATAAATAAAGACGTGTTCATTTTCATTTCATTTATCAGTTATTTAATATCATGGGAGACGTAATGTTTTTTAAACAATGCAAATTGTTGTTGCATATTTAGTCTGATAACTGTCGTTTAGGTATGACCCATAATAATCCAGGGTCCAGTGTGTGTCTTATACTACATTTTCAGGAAGAGAAAAACCTGATAAAATCCACACTGATATTCTCGAAATACTATTTTAAAATGGTCAAAGCTATTATCTGTCTGCTTCTTAATCTGTATTAAATTAAAAAGAAAAATTTTCACACAAACACACACACATACACGCACACACACACACACACACACGTTGTACATATGTAGAAGATGAAACACTGAGGAGGAAGCCATCAAATGTTGAGCACGACATCAGCACACCACAGAGCCGGAGAAGTCCACCATCAGTGAGGCCATGAGTGAACATACAGAACAATTATATACAGTACAACACCCAGGGACACAACTGTAGATACCAGGCTTCTCATTTAATGCAGCAGCTGGATACACAGTCATGCATTTATTTCCTTTCAGGAAGATGGCTGTTTGAATTTTCAGGAAATTTCTGATTTAAGGAGGTCCGAGTCTAGATTTCTCATATATCATAAATATACCAACTTTGGGTGACAGAAATGATGCTGTTGTGTTGTGAGGCAAATATTTTAATTTGAAGATGTACCAAAACATTTTTGTATCACTCAAAGAAGGAAAAATGCCAGATTGTACTGATGTGAAATGTTGAAAAAAGCATTAGAGAAGCACTTAACAAATGCTTCCGTAATGTAAAGTGGCATTTAGAAACCTTCGCTGTGACCACGAGCTGTGTGCATTAGAGCCCAGAGTTTGGTATCTCAAGTTGCTGACTTACTGTACAAGGCAGACAGAGCCATTTATGGTGTGAAATGAACAATCTTCTTCTGTTTGTTTGTTTTGTTTTGCCAAGCGGGTGAGGAAAAACAAAAAAGAAATCAGATGTGGCAGCATTGTCACCGTCGCTGAAAACCCACACCACTATGAAACAACTGAAAACAACAACAACAACAACATCAACAACAACACCAACGCACATCAACACAGAGCGCAAAAAAGAATGTTTTTAATATCCAATTTTTTTCTTTTATTGTTCCATAGTAACAACACAGTATGGATGTATCAGTGCTGCGATTAGTTTTGTCTCTCGAGCTCAGAGCAAACATGGCGTATCCACTGTCAACAGGGCTGAAAAATAGATCTGATGTGTGTGCAATATACATAAAGAAACAAAGCCTCTTTAAGGAAATACAGTAGTCGAGCCAAGAAAGTTATTATAAAATGTATCAAGTTTGAAAAAGGCATGCTTTTTTCTCTTTTCCATCTTTAAAGTTTTCTTCTTCTCAAATGATTTCTGTCAGTGTCATTGGGTAGCAATTGTTATGTGTTAATAAAGCACTTATTTTTATCATTATTATAATACACAATAACCACAATTTGATTTTGTGTGTCAGTGCAAAGAGGTACCAAATTATCTTGTGTAAGGAATGAGTTGAGCCTTTTTCAAGTCCTTCTTAACCAGTGCTACATGCATAAATCACCCGCAGAGCTCCCACAGTCTATCCTCTCTCTCTGTCCATGTCAGGCTTTGCTTCTTCCTTTCTCTGAGACTCAGAAAGGTGTTAACACTGGATTTTTGTCCCCTTTTCCAAAGGGTGAGGGGAGGGAGGAGGGTGCGGGGGCGGGAGTTGTTAGTTTGTATAGAGTCACCACTGTCACCACATGGACAAACACACACAATGAACAGCACACAGACGGCAAAGTGGAGGAAGCGAGAGACGGAAATCAAGAGAGAGGACGGAGGATGGATGAACACAGGGCCTAGCGCTGAGAGCGGCGATGATGATGTACCCGTTTGCCCTCTGAGACGGTTGCGGCAGAGTTAGCAGGGGGCCGGTTGGCAGGCTCTTCCTGGGGGTAGTGGGACGGCGTATCAGTCAGATACACCTCCACGTCATCAGGCACTTCTTCCAGGAAGTTAGAGGGAACCAGACCACGGTGGCCGTTCATCTCACCCTGTGGACGGTAATGAGAGGAGACTCATTTCTGTCACTGAACATGACGCATGCCTTATTGTATATACAACATGTTGTATCAAAAATCTGGAATCTACAGTTAACACATCGCTGTTAAACCAGAGATAGATGAGAAGATTAATACCACTATCATAGATGAGAACTCTAACCTGACCAGTTAACTCAGCTTGGCATTTAAAGACTGCAAACGGGGGGGGAGGGGGGGACAGCTAGCCTGGCTCTGACAAAGTTAAAAATCTGCTACCAGGACATCTAAAAAGAACCATAGCGATCGGATCATATATTATAATAATAATATAATAGATTAAACAAATTAGATGAGAGAAGCAAACATAGTCAAGCAGCACTCACATAATAGAATCCGTCTTCATCAATATCTCCAAAGACAGCAATAATGTCACCAGCACAGAAGGTCAGCTCAGCCTATCAGAAGACAGAGATACAGAAACCGATATACAAGGAATACGATCCAAGTCCACTATGTCTTAATCTGCTATGTCCTTATATATTTGATCCAAGGGAGTGCTGTATAGTTAGCCTCTTATACAGCACTCCCTTGGATCTGTAAGTATGTGTGTGTTCAGCAAGGGGTCCTGGGCACTAATCGATACCTCGACATCAACATTAGGGGAGCTCTCTCGGGGGTCGTAGTCGTACAGAGCCACCATCCTCCTCGAGGCCTGATCTCGGCGGAGGCCTCTTCGGTTTTGCTCTGGAAACGATAATAGACGGCTTGTTAACAAAAAGTAACAATAACTGTTCGTTCAAATGCAGATTTTTACTACCTATAGTACCTATTCTGTCCACGGGGGTGCTGAGTGGCAGGAAGCCCTGTTTAATGAGCTGGTCCAGGGTCTCCTCGTCCTCCGCTCGTATCTCTGACACCATGTTACAGGGGATCAGACCCATTCTGCCTCTCACTTCTCCTCTGTAAAAGCCATCTGTGTCTTTATCACCATACACCTGTTAGACAAGAGAGTTAAAGAGTGATGTTTAGACTTGCCACTTTAAAACATTGATTGGCCCAGAACTTATTTAATGACGCTTCAAGAAATTATGACTGCGGTACTGTCATGGCAGTGATGTACATGTTGTTCAGATGAGTTCTTGGTGAAGAAGAGGGTTTGCACAAAAGATATTCAGTGGTATAGGCAATTTTAGTTTCAAATGAACCTGGTTTAAAGGTCAATTCCAGAACATTTTGTAAAACATTTTTTTGATTGAAGACAACACTGAAAACTAATTTGCCAGCTGCAAAAGTGTTCTTTTAATGTAAAATAAAGCTTGAAGGATGAATAAAGATTCAACGCTGGAATTTGTGGGCAGCAGTTTGGATTGCAGAAAAGCTATTTTACTGAGCTTTTGAATTCTGCATGAAAAACAAACAATAGTGAAGGTTGAAATCAGTCTGAGAGAATTGTATAAGAGAACTGTTATATAGTATAGAATGAATGCATACTTTCTGCAGTTATTGCACACTAAAATAACCGTTTCTCACATAATATTTCAGGATTATAGCCTTTGTTTGTGGACAAAATACAGCAAACAACTTGTACCTTAAGGTTTGGATTCACCTTAAAGAGGAAGACAGAATAATCAGGAATGCATCAAAGTATCTGACCATCTAAATTGTAAACTCCCACCCTAATGATCTGCCCCTCTTTGAAGGGCAGCTCCTCGTCAGCGGCATCTGGGTTGGGGGACATGGACAGAGGATCATAGTCGAAGAGGGCCACGAAGATCCGGAAGGACTCCTCGGCCTCTGACTCATCGTAGTATGTGGGTGAGCGGCGATCCCGGTCCCTGTAGCCATCTTAAAACACATTGAAGACAAAAAGAAATCATATTATCCTACATCACAAGATAGTGCAACCAATGGATGTGATCCAACACACAAAACAGGAACTTTGGAGGAGACTTTGTTTCTTTGCAAACATAGTTTTAGTTTTTGTCTCCTTTGTACTAGGTAACAAAACTTAGTGCTGCATACAGTGTAGACCACTATGAGCAAGACCATTATGCTTACATCGTGATGTATCTTAGCCATGCTTCAATCAAAGGAAATCAATGAGAGGGTTTTATTTTGTCTTAATAATTGATTCCATCAGGCAGTGCTGCATGACAGATTGGATTTTCTTGTCTAGTCATATTTGTGCCTGTCAGCATGCAGGAATAAATCTGTGGTCAGTCAGCTATTTAAATCATTTACTCTAGCACGCACGCATGCACCCATAAACACACTCACACACGCTATTATGTTTGAATATACAGTGAAAGACAAATGGGGAGCAAGACAAACCCTAGTGCAATACACAGAATGTGATTCATGGACATGACACAACACAAACAAACAAGACTGTGAAATGCATGCTACAAAATGCCTAAATTAAAAAAAAAGATACAACTCCATAGGTCTATTTTCACTTCATATAAAAACAAAACTTTGGGTGAAATTCTATATAAAGCAAAAATCTCACACTTCCCACACATTGCCAACCCTTACACCGTAGCAACAAGAGGTCTAAAGCTGAGATGGCAGAGTTGTTGTGGAAGCCTGTCATTTATTTGAATTTGGCATTTTTAATATTAGAGTGAGATACTGTTGAAAACCGCTTGAAAATACAAGCATGATGTGAAATGCATTGCTCCCAGGTGAGCATCAGCCAACCTGCAAAACGTTTGGTAATTGTATTTAGGTGGTACGAGAAAGGAAATGTAAGGGACATCTGCATTTCCAACAGCTGATATTTCAAACTCAAATGTCCAAAGGAACTAAAAAAAAAAGAAAAAAAAGCAGTGAATGTGTAGTCATTCTTTAATGTCTACCACTAATATTCCGTCAAAAATGTCATGCATGACTACTCTCATTGTAAGTGTAGTAGGTGTGGTTGTACCACAAAGGGAGGGGGGTTTAGCAGGCATCTGGAGTTCAGTGCAGTGAGTGAGGCATTCCCTGAGCAGTCAATCAATCATTTATCATCTGCAACTGTGGAAACGTTCACCCTGGACCCCAGGTATGGCTTGCCAGTGGGTCCACCATTTCAGTGCAGTGCAGTCATGCTGTTCAACTGGAAGCATAATAATAACTATTATTATTTAAGACAGAGAAACAGGCACTTGCAAGTGTCCACAGCTAATCTGCCGGTTGCTGGTGGCATTTGTTTTGTCGCCATGCTGTGGTGGTAAAATCGGGACTGCAGGCACATACCATGGGGAGACCTGGTGCCGCCCATGTGCCTGCGGGATGGCCGCGTCCTGTGCCGAGCTACTCTGCCATAGTAAACATCCTCGGTGATGGGGGAGAGGTTTCCCTCACTGTTATTCTCAGAGGTTACCTCTACAGGAAACACCAGTTAGAGTGTGATGGGGTTACAATGCAAAGCTCAACATTCCCCTCCCAAAAGGTTACCTTAAGATTACTGTTACAGCTAAAGCTTCTTATTGCTTATACACAAGGTAATAATAAATACACACAGGAAAACTACCATGGTTAAAGTGTCATGATTGTGAGATTCTGTATCGGAGTAGATTAAATGCATCAACATGTAGTGCAACTGTGCACAGCAGTTTTAGAAAAGTGTCAGCTTGCTGCATCATAATAATCTCTGAAAGATCTCATTTATTATAAGGTAGTGAAGGGCATGAGCATGGTTCATAGACACAGAGGTGATCTGGAAACACAGAGAAGCTCATGAAGGCTTTAACAGAGCAACAAACATTACTGTTCTACGGCACAAAAAACATTAAAAAATATAAAATAAAAGATTCTCCCTTTTTCTGTTCTCTCTCTAGCCACCTCCCTATACTGACCAATGGAGGGGACCATTAGAGGTCGTCTCTGCGGTTGAGAACCGCCATGATTAATTCTTCTCCCAGTTTCCCGGTCCTGACGGCCTCCAGCGCGATTGTTTGTCTGCAATGCGAGCAAACACAGAAAAACATTCACAAACATTAAACATTCATAAGTCGCTCACAGACACGTGGACAAACTCGCAAGTGAAAAAAACGCACATCGACGTACTCATACGAATTTTATGTAAACGAAATCATGCAGCACTCGCAGGCAGGCACACTAAAACACAGACGCATAGACACACACTCAAACACACACAAGCCCACGGGAAAGTTTAACATTCCAAAATTAAGCAAATACTGATAACAAACTACTTTTTAAAAAAAGTGTCAAAGACATCAGTAAGCGCCGTCTATGTTACTGTGTTGTCTCCATTCATGGCGCTAAATTGTTCAGTCTCTCCAAGGTACTGAACACATTCAGACCTAGTCTATATTTGCTTCTCTCCATGGTGCCGAAACATTAGCTGCACTCAGACAGCGAGAGGGTGCCGACGTGGCTCCAGGCAACCTCCGATCCTACTTATAGCCTGTACAGTACACCTTAGGCTGCTGCTAACCACCAGAGAGGGGACTACAGCCTAAAATAGAGGGGATGGTAAGCAAAACGACAGAATTAAAATAGCAAGTTTTGCTAACGAATACCATAGCATTGATGCAGACTGGATATGGACTGGAATCAAACTTTGAAGATGTTCAGATGTCCAGTACCGTTTCTCTTCACTGATATGTCGATATGCTGCCTGAAGGTATCAGAATGCAGTCTGTCTCACTCCGTTTCTCTCCATGGTGCTGACGTATTCAAATTTATTTTCCCCTATTCTCTAAATTTGAATTAAACTCACACACTAACAACACATCAAATGCAAGTCAAGGCAGCAGTCTCAATTGAAGTATCTGTGCCTGTGCAGTTCGCTAAATAATAATTAATTTGGCTGGTTATGACTCTTGGGTTTAAAATAAGTGCAAAGAACTGCACCTTGGGTGTGTTGTGCGAGTTGCGTCGGCGTCCCTCTTCCAGCTGCATCTCAGAGTACAGCTCCTCCTCATCCTCTTCCATGATGTCAGACAGGTCAGAGCCCCGGCTGCTTTCGCTGTGATAATCTTCATTGTGACTATAGTGAGGCTTTTGGCAGTCACACACAAACACAAACACACAAGACGCAGTTGTTTAAGTCCACATACATACATACATACATACATACATACATGCACACACCAAACGCACATGGATGGGCGAACACACACATTGTAACACACACAGAGACACCAGGCAAAGGGAGTGTATGCATGCAACCACCCAGACATGCATGCACACACACGTCCAAACATACACACACGTGAGAGGTTGTCTATTGAAAAACACATTGGGGCTGAAGTTGACAAGGAGGCGAACGATTTATCCCTTGTCGCGTCGCTCTTACCGGCCTCCCCAGCTCAGAGCCTCTGAGGAACTCGTCGACTGAGGGTCCTCTCCGACGGCCGCGCGTGAAGCCTTCCTCGTCCTCCTCTTCCTCGTCAGAGTGATGCTGGTGAAATGAATGACCCTGCTCTCCGTATCTGCCCTGCCTCCTTTCCCCCTGAAAACATGCATGAAAAGTGAGCACACTGAGTGACAGTGCTTACTCAATGTCAAGTAATATGGTGCTTCATTATTGTTGGTTATTGTAAGCAGTATTTTAATAACTTGATCTTTATATTTTCTTATGTTTTTCAACCTTTTGTACAAAATCAATAGATTCCCCCACACACTTATAATCTCTAGCTTTTTATTTAGATGTTTTTAAATTCTAATTAAATTTACCCTTTTACATGTTAGTTTCTTTTTCCTTTTTTATTTGATTGTATAATTACATTTTTTAACAATACGACATTTCAACACACCTTGCCACTTTCTGCCGCCACCCTCTGCGCTGCTTCTCGAGCAATGGCTTTGGCCACCGTGTCCGGAATAAGTGTGCCTCGGGGCTGCGGAAGAATACGCTGTGGGGACGGGGAGCGTGGATTGGCAGAGGGAGGTGCCTCAAGAGTGTGACCTTGCATGGGCCCAGGAGGCTGGGAAGAAGGAGAGCGTGTGGGGTCCCAGCCAGACTGGCCAGGTGGAATAGCTCCCCCGTGGTGGGCCGCGTGCTCTTTGGCATCCAGATCTCTGGCACATACTGGTCTCTGAGGTATAGGGTGTTGGGGGTGGGGTAGCAGAGGCAGTTGGTGCTGGGGCCTGGGACCATGGTGGGGCGGGCGCGGCTGAAAATGTAGGGGCTGGGGCTGAGGGTGT